AGCAATTATGGAAAGAGTCTTTCATGCTCTAGATAAAAAAGGTGAAGCCTGGGCTGTAGTATTGGATATCTTGAAAGCTTTTGACAGGGTCCCATATACAGGTCTTCTCCACAAGCTGAAAAGTTATGGACACATTTTTTAATCAAATCAGGAAATGAAAGTTATCTTGAATGGCCACTCATCTAGATCCTTTCGTACTAACACAGGTGTCCACCTGTTATTTACCTTGAGACCCTTGATAAAATCCAAAGAATAATTAGCAATATTATTCGTCCTGATCTGGTGACTCGGCTTCAGTCAATTATCCACCACTATAAGATTACCTCTCTGTGTCTTTTCTATAAATACTTTCATGGTAATTGTGCAGATGAGCTCTTCGCTATGGTACCTCAGTTTCATGAATTTAAGTACAGTACGAGACTAGCATCGAGATCTCATCAGTTTACAGTTCATCTGTCTATATGTAGCCGTAAGTTCTATGTTAACAGTTTCTTCTCTCGCACTTTTCGCTTCATGCATTCCAAACAACTTTAATCTGCAAAAATTTTAATGCAATGTTAATTGCTATCTACTGTTCTCTTGATTACTCATTTCTCTTACCGCTCATTATTAATGTTTCTGTTTCTAATTCTTCCACACCCTGTACCCCTTGTGTCTTAGTGGCTTTACTACTTTGCATGGGGTGAAATCGATTTTTTAAAAATTGTGCGAATTACTTAGATGAATTCTTTTTTGACTATGATATTTTTATTATTATGAATAGGATATTCAGGCTATCTTTATAGTCTTTGATCATAATACATACATATATATATATATATATATATATATTATTTAATTATTATAATTTTATCATATAGACAAAACCATTTTACTCACTACAAAGATGCAACTTTGTTTCAATGCATTTCAACTGCACTTCGACCAGTGAGAATCGAAAATGTTTATGAACAATCCTGCTTGTAGGCAAGTCGTATGTGAAACGTCAAACGTAATACTATCCCCTATCTCCATCTTTCCTCCCACTACCTCTCACTCTTAGGACGCTTGTAAGATGATGTGCCTAAACTTTTGACCGATGATTAGCGGGAAAAAAATTTCCACAGACCAGTCAATATTAAACACCCAATCCATTCTTCACCAAACTGCTATCAACAAGCACTATTGTTCCACTCCGTCACCTTTATATTTTTTTGATGTATATTTTTCTTCTCAAACAAATGCAAAAAAGAAAGTGTCGTTTCACGTACCGCTTGCCTACAAGCAGGATTTTTCATAAACATTTTCAATTCTCACCCGTCGAAGTGCAGTTGAAATGCACTGAAACCAAGTTGCATCTTTGTAGTGAGTAAAATGGTTTTGTCGATATGATAAAATTATAATAAATAAATAATTATCTCTCTACTATCGGTATCGAGCCCTCTTTTGGATTAATGCTGTGAACGTTGGAATTTATATATTACTTTCGTTCTCATCGCATCGGATATATATATATATATATATATATATATATATATATATATATATATTTAAACATATATTTAAATATATATTGTTAAATATAAGAGACAATGAATGTCTATTATGTCTGATCATGAGCCGTTCTAAACCTCGTATGTTTGCTTTAAATTCGGATGAAAATAAAGGCACAAATTGTCCAACATTAGAATGTATTTTATTAAACTGTTCCTTGATCTAAACTTTCAGCTCACATAAGTCATCTTCAGAGGGGTTATGCAGACATTTAAACAAAGGTATTCACCATCAAAGATGATATTCTGTTATACTAAAATAGAAGATTGCTCTATGATGATAACGGTTATGGAATAGCAGACGCTGGTCATAAGTACATGATGCGATTCTATGATGTCATAACACGTGAGAGACCGAAATATTAACAACAGAACCATATGTCTAGATGCAAGTGTTGTGGCTTGTTTGAAATGTAATTTTGTTGAGTGTGGGTTGCATTGTTTTAATGTAGATGGCCTCAAATATCTGAAGGTTCTTTTTACTGTGTGTATGTGTGAGTATTATTGTGTCTAATATCTGTTTAATGTTAAGTAATGGCTATCTTTTTCTAAGAAATGTTGTTTAATAGAACTAAGATCAGAAATATGACAGGTAAGCCTATGGGAGAGTGTTGTTGTAGTAAAACCAATATATATATATATATATATATATATATATATATATTGTTACATCCTTGCTTTTAGATTTTTAACTTGCATTGATTAAGCAAGGATGAAAACTGCCTTTTCAGCTAATCCTTCTCAATTTCCAGATTCTTGAAAGTTCGTAACTGCTGACTTTTGTATCCTAAATGTAAATAAAGCAATATATAATTATGTAAATATTTTGTACACCTTTGTTGGAATTTAATTTGAGAACAACAATTTTATAAGTTCACATTCTCTCTATTCTTTCTATCCTCCCTCCAACCTCTTTTTACTTTCAAAACCGACACTCAAAGCCTTGATTCTTATCAGAGATAAGAATATATTTTCTTACTAACGAGAGAGCCGGAAAATATAAAAAGGAATTCCACCATCATTATTCTTTCCATGGTACCATAATGTCTGGGTACCTCACAGTTTGTTCAGTCCAACCTGTTTTCGTTACTTACAAACCCGGCTCCCACATCCCTGATTCTTATCAGAGATAAGAATGAGTTTTTTGACCAATAGAGGGACCAGGAAATTTGTACAGCGATTTTGGAGGGAAAAGTCCCCGATCCATGGGAGCCTACCAAAACACCATAAATTTGGTGAATCTTGCCTATTTGACAGTGAGAATTCTGCCCACCGTCTATGAGGTCGACATTAGGGACCTCCAGTCAACTTCAGTACCTTTTTCAAGCAAAGAAGAACTATCTACTAAAGGGCTGTCAAGAACGAACGTCGGTCCACAATTCAAGACCAATTCAAAGCTGCATCCCTTCATCACTCCTTCTGACGAGCCCACTGGACTTCTGTCGTCGACCTACGAACTCACTCAACTGCAAGATTCCTATATCTACCAACAATTTTCCTACTCTACAAGAACTGTGAGTGTTTCTATCTGAACCTTAACAATATCCTAATCGCTTAAAGAACTCTTTAGGCGCTCAGAGAAATATTTTGAGCAAGCCTTTTTTTCAGTTAAGAACATTTTCTCTTTTCCCTTTCTTTCTCTCCTAACTTTCCTGTTATTCCTTTACCCTTTTTTTTTCTCTAAATGTAAATAAACACTTTCTTCTTTTATTGTTACTCACCGAGTAGGAGTTTTTTTCTTTATTCGTCCGCGCCTAAAAGAGAGAATTTGTCCGCTCTAATCTTGCTGTTTTAATCGCGTTTAGTCGCAATTTTTTAAAAACCTCAGCCCATTTTTTTTTAAACTCAACCCTTTGATGCGGGACAGCTGGGACAAATTTCCTAGCACCTTATATATATATATATATATATATATATATATATATATATATATATATATATATATATATTGCAGTTTTATATTTTGTACGCCTTGTATATATATATATATATATATATATATATATATATATATATATATATATATGTGTGTGTGTGTGTGTGTGTGTGTGTGTGTGTGTGTGTGTGTGTATATGTCTGTGTGTGACTTTAGAATAAATGTTTATCTCAGGGACTGGATGTTTACATGGTTAAATGCCAAGGTTTGAAATACCGAGTTTCAAAGTCGACATGTCCTCCTCCTTTAATTAGAAAATAAATGTAAAACAATCATACTATTTCCACTTCCTGCACCCACCCTGCACCCACCCTGTTTATCCTTATTTGTAAAGCTTAGATCTCTTTATCTATCTCTGTGTCTGTGTGTGTGTGTGTGTGTGTGTGTGTGTGTGTGTGTGTGTGTGTGTGTGTGTGTGTGTGTGTGTGTGTGTTGAATTTTTGTGTGAATAGTCACTTAGTGATAAGAAAATTTTATTTTCTTAGTCTGGTGATTTAAAATATCATCGTAAAATATAAATATCAAATGCTTGTTCATCAGTAAGATTTATGCTATGATAGGAGACATGTTTTTCTGCCAAAAAATAAATAAAAATTGCTGTTTTGCTGGAACACTTCCATGTTCTCTCGCTTTCTAACAAAAAGAAGAAAAGAAGAATCACTATTCGATCGTATCTTTTCAAAAGTTAATTGTATCGTTTTAATCATTTCAATTGCCTCATTTTGATTGTATTATTTCAATTGCATCATTTTAATTGAATCATTTTAATTGCATCATTTTAACTCTATCGTTTCAATTGTATCATTTTAATTGTATCATTTTAATTGTATCATTTCAATTGTATCATTTTAATTCTATTTTTTAATCATTTAAATTGTGTCATTAAATTGTATCATTTCAATTGCATCATTTTAATTGAATCATTTTAATTGTATCAATTTAATAATTAAAATTATATTTATTTAATCAGTTTTTAATAATTTTTTAATAATTATAGTTTGTATCATTGTAGCTGTATCATTAAATTGTATCATTTTAATAATTTTAATAATTGTATAACTGTAATAATTTCAATTTCATAAATTTTAATACTAGCTTGCAGTATCAGTAAAAATTTTACAGTTTTCTTATTTGGATTTTCTGACAAAACATAATTTTGAATTTAAAGATTGAATAAGATCCTTGCAAGTTCCACGACTATAGATTTTTTTTACTATTATTTATCAATACAAGGCCTAAGAGCCACTCAAGGAAGAGGGCTACTAAAGGAGATTGCTGCAATGGTGTACAGGAGGAAAGAATAAGGTGAATGTTATGAGGATATGTAGGATAGATACCATGGAAATTCCCTTATTGCGTTGTTAATTATCACCTTTTTATTCTTTGTTTATTTATTTCTTAGACAATATAAATATTGTTCACATTAAGTATTAATTAAGTATCAATTGGAAATATTTGCACAATCTGTTTGAAAAGAATGCATATATCTACCACTTATCCTTACTAGTAACGGTAGTTACTCCTGTAATGACAATGGTTCCTATATGATCACTGAAGTTAAGCAACGTCAAACCTGGTCAGTACCTAGATGGGTGACCACTTGTGAATACCGAGTGCTGTAGGCATGAATGTGCAGATAATGTAAATTGATAGTGGCTTGGAATTGTTAATTGGCGACCCAAGTTCCAATTCCGGTTGGGTTCGTTATATATTCACCTATGCACAATTACCTTTAGGAAAGTTATGAATCCCTCCTTTCTTCCCCCCCCTCCAGCTCTGAGTTAATTCGTAAGACGTGCATCATTATCTCAAAAAATTTTACAATATAAAAGTATTTCCTGGGTTTCAATAACCTGCAAAGGGTTGATAAGCCATACAAAATGAAAGAATCAATCAGTTACTCCTGTAATGATCCTTACTCCTATTGTTATGGTCCAGTTCCTTGTACCACGGTGATAGTCCAAGGTAGAACCAATAAAGAAGAACTCAAACACGGATATGGAATAACACAGATATATTACAAACAGGAATATATACAGAGAAGTAGAAAGTGTTAGTACGAACAATCAGGTTTAGTAGTAATTGTCTGAACGCGACTCTGTTACGGATTGCCTCTGACTCGACTGACTGACTCGCTCGCTCTGACTGACTGACAGACTTCTGACGGACCTCACTCCAGACTTCAAACTCCACCCCATGCTTCCTCTTGAGGCGCAGTATTTATTACGTATGGAATAGTCCATTATGTTATTATGGGTAAGGTCCCATAACCCTATACTAACTGAGTAATGATCTTTACTCTTCTAATGATCCTTACTACTGTAATGATCCAACAGTGATTTTTACTCCTGTAATGATCCTCACTCCTGTAGTGACCCTTATCACTCCTGTAAGGATTATTGGTAATGATCCTGCTCATGTAATGACCCTTCTCCTGTAATGATCAAACAAGGATCCTTACTCCTGCAATTATCCTTACTTATGATTGACCACTGATCATTACTACTGTCATAATTCTTCTGCTGTAATAATCCCTTTCACATAATGATCCAACATTAATCCTTACTCCTGTATTAATCCAGTAATGATCCTTACTACTACAATGATCCTTACTCCTGTAATGACTGAGTAATGACCTTTAATTTTGTAATAATGATTAAGCAATAATATTTACTCCTGTAATGATCCTTCTCCTGCAATGATCCTTACTTCTGCATTGACCCTTATGCCTGTAATAACCTAGTAATGTTCCTTACTTCTGTAATGATCCAGTAATGATATTTACTCCTGTAATGATCCTTACTCCTGTAATGATCCTTACTCCTGTAATGATTGAGTAATAATCTTTACTCCTTCAATGATAAATAATTGGCAGATATTCTATTGTGGAATCGCGTGTGTGTGCGCGCGCGCAGACTGCACCCCTTTCCTGTCACGTTCAGCTAGACATAGTAGTAAACGCTTACGTGAGTGAGGTTGCTTGCTAGCTACTCCTGATAATGTCTAAAATCAGAATTTGAATTTTTTCCCGCGCGTGTCCTGACGTCACAGACGAACAGCGTTTTCAAATTAGTTGCGGCCCGATTTTCAAGCTAGCAGGTCAACTCATTTATTCCGTGCCCCTAACCCATACGCGGGCCGGAATATCTTATTCTTAACTAACCAAAACTTCAACATGTCGATATCACATTTTTCCAAGACTCATCCTCGTCTTGATGCAAACAGCATGTTGATCTTTCCTCCGTTTTCAGCTAGAAAATGTGTTTGTTCTACGACACCGTCGTCAATATATTTTTCCAAGACTCATTCTCGTCTTGATGCAAACAGCATGTCGAACTTTCATCCGTTTTCAGCTAGAACATGTAGAGTTCTACGACACTATCGTCAATAGACCAACTTCTCGTCTTGATGCAAACAGCTTTCGAACTTTCCTCTATTCACTACCAGAGTTCTACAACACGGTCGCTCTCATGCCATTCCAAGACTAATTTCCTCGTCTTGATGCGAACAACTCTGAATTTTCCTTCCCTGAAGAAGATTGTTAAACTGTTCATACACCTTTGAAACTTCAAATCCTTACGAACCAGTACCTTAAAGATAGCATTACACACACATTATTAAACCTCGCAGTGAGTATTTTTTCCTTGTTGTGTATGCTTACACCTTTCGTTCAACAAGACACTTTTCCAGAACTTTCTTCCTGAAGAACTTCTCCCGCCTTAGCCATCTTGGTTTTCTGTTTTTTCCTTCAGTGACTACTTGTCACAACCTTTTCATTAATTGCATAGATCCAGTAACTTTACTGATTGTCTCCCCTCCGAGACAATTTACTTGTTTAAAAATAATAAAAGTTTATATTTGTTCTTTTACCAGACTCATTTTGTCGTTTAATCCCGGCTATCTATATTTTACTATTTTTGTGCATGTGTTAAATGATCCCTTTTCCTCACTAAAGATCACTCATTTAATATTCTTACTTTGTTTGTGGATTCGGTAGTCATAAGTAGTGTCTGGCACAAGGCAACCTTTTAATAAACCAGCACTGCATGCTACCGGGTCTGCAACACTATTATCACAATGTGGGATATTTAATAGCTAATGTGACAGAAATAGAAACAAAGAAGAAACTAATTTAAATCAGCTGGACTATATACACAAAACATATAGTATACACAAAAATATAAACAAAAAATATACACAAAACATATAATAACAAAAAAAAATTAATTACAATAGAATCCCTAATATCCGGAATCCCTCATATCTAGAATCCCTTATATCCGGGATCCCGCATATCCGGACATGACTTTGATGTGTATATTTGAACTGTTTGGTGGATATGTAACTGATTTGAAATTTCTGTTTTCCAGGAAATTTACTTTGGATAATTGCTTATGCTTATTTCACCCTAATGGCTTTGATTGGTGCAAAAGATGATGGGAATAAGACGAAAGAATGATATCTGCAACAAGATAGCGACGAGATGCAAGACTGTGATAAAACCTGGGATGAAATTGAAAAATCTATTTAAAAGGTTGTCAGTTTTATGGAAAGAAAGCCAGCATTCAGCTATGACGATTGCAATAACGCATGCAGACTTAAAATTTGTCTTTCGTTTAAAAAAATTTCAAGAACAAAAGTAAAACGAAATGCGGAAAAAGTTGAGAATGACATTAGAAGAGAAAGAATCATCATGCAACAGCGATTAAAAAATCCTCGTTATTTTATTTGTTTTGCATACGTGGCATTGAATTTTAATGAATTTTCAACAAATTTAATTCTTTTTCCTTAAAATCAATTCCGTTATATTTCACTCACCATTAGCTTATTTTGTTTATTATAAAACATTGAAAATAGATGTTGTACCTGATTTCAGTTCTTTTATTTTAATCTAAATATAACCCCTCATATCCGGACTTTGTATCCAATTCCTCATATCCGGAAGGCCTTCTTAGCGATTCTTCTGTACTTTAAATTTAAATTTCTCAATGCTCCCTTTCATTTATGCGCATATGTAGTTGCATTGTCATAAACATCTGTTTCATCTGAGGAAGTCCTAAAAGATGAAATGCGATCATGTTGTTGATTGCGATGTCTTGCCAGACGATTGCCACTCGTCCATTGATTGGCCATCCGTGAACCCATTGATGTCTCTTCAGTCCTGCCAGCGACTTGCACATCTTGGGGCAGATTTGACACTCATGACCACTGGCATTGGTTGAGACAACAGGCACAATGTTATCATCTCTGTGAACTTTCATGTGACGCTTAAGACCACCAGTTGATTGGCAAACTCTAGAGATGTGGGAGCATGAAAATTTTCCATCCTGGGACTCAATGCGTGGCCTAGGAAGGATAACAAATGCAGTTGGATTGCTTTCATGTGATTAACAAGGCCTGCCTTTGACAGCAGGGTCTGGTCACAGACCCACACATCTCCACAATTGGCCGGCAGAGGTTCCTGCTTTCTTCATGTTCTCTTGAGCTGTGCCTGGTCTGCTCTGGCGGCTTCAAAACGTCCAGCACCCTAAAAAATCACAGCTCTCCACTGGCCACGATTAGATTCTAGGGATTCCCAATCATCAACAGGAACACCAAAATATACTAAACTCTCCTTGACACTATCTTGAAATCGTTTTTTTTTTTAGCCTGCCAGAAAAAAGCTCACTATAAAAAAACAGATAAGCCGAACAAAATTCTTCTGAGTCATCAAGCCGAACAAGGCCATCCTTTAAGCTGAGAGGGGCTAAAAGAAAATTCAAAACGACCAAAAAAAAATCATCTCCACAACGATTAGATTCTGGCCAATCAGAGGTTCACCTACTAAACTTTCTGACACTATCACTATAAAACAGATATTTTGTTCTCTTGAGAACAAGCCTTGGTCTGCTCTGGCGGACCCACATCTCCTTCAAACGTCCAGCATGTTCCTAAAAATCACAGCTCTCCAGCACCCTAAAAATCACAGCTCTCCACTGGCCACGATTAGAGGGATTCCCAATCATCAACAGGAACACCAAAATATACTAAACTCTCCTTGACACTATCTTGAAATCGTTTTTTTTTTTTTTTAGCCTGCCAGAAAAAAAAGCTCACTATAAAACAGATATTTTGGAAGTCTGCGAGAGGGGTCATCAAGCCGAACAAGGCCTTCCTTTCTTGAGTGCCTGGGTCTGGTCACAGACCCACACATCTCCACAATTGATTCCAATCATCGGCAGAGGTAGTTGACTTTCTTGAAATGTTCTCTTGAAAAAAGCTGTGCCTGGTCATTGAGAGAGGGGTCTCTGGCGGCTTCAAAACGTCCAGCAAACCCAAAAAAAAATCACAGCTCTCCACTGGCCACGATTAGATTCTAGGGATTCCCAATCATCAACAGGAACACCAAAATATACTAAACTCTCCTTGACACTATCTTGAAATCGTTTTTTTTTTTTAGCCTGCCAGAAAAAAGCTCACTATAAAACAGATATTTTGAAGTCTGGAGTCATCAAGCCGAATTTTTTTTTCCCTTTGCGAGAGGGGTCTGGTCACAGACCCACACAATCTCCTGGCTTTAAAACGTCTTCACTGGCCTACAATTCTCTAGGCAATCAACCAGGCAGAGGTTCCTGCTATTATAA